CCACAAACTGAGTGGCTTAAAGCTAAAGAAATGTATTCTCTCACAGTCCTGGAAGCCAGAAGTCTGAAATCAAGCTATTGGCAGGGCATGCTTTCTGAAGGCTCTGGAGGAATGGATCCTTCCTTGCCTCTTCCCAGCTTCTGGTGGCAGCCGGCAGTCTTTGGCATTTCTTGGCTTGGAGACACATCGTTCTCGTGGATGTGTCAATGCCACATGGAGACAAATGCTGCGTGGAGACATGTGGCATTCTCCCTGCGTGTCTCTGTATCTCTACTTTCTCTTCTTATAGGGACACCACCCATTGGATTATACCCTAATCCAGTATAATCTCATCTTAACTAATTGCATCTGCAAAAACCCTATTTGCATATCAAATCACTTTCCGAGGTTCTGGGTGGACATGAATTTGGGAGGCACATTATTTGTCCCAGTACAGCTCTATGAAAGAACTTTATGATATCGATGAACAATTGGGAAGTTAATTAATTAATTAATTAATTTATTTATTTTTGAGACAGAGTCTCACTCTGTTGCCCAGGCTGGAGTGCACTGCCACGATCGCAGCTCACTGCAACCTCCGCCTCCTTAACTGAAGGGACCCCCCTTTGGTTATGAAGGGGTGAGGAGTAGGAATCAGGCAGGAAAAGTAGGTTCAAGCAATTCTCCTGCCTCAGCCTCCCGAGTAGCTGGGATCACAGGCACCCGCCACCACACCTGGCTAATTTTTGTATTTTTAGTAGAGACGGGGTTTCGCCATGTTGGCCAGGTGGTCTCAAACTCCTGACCTCAAGTGATCTGCCCGCTGCGGCCACCCAAAGTGCTGGAATTACAGGCATGAGCCACCGCGCCTGGCCCAGAAATTTCTTTAACTACAGAGGGGTTTTCCTGCTTACAGATCCAGTATCCCTACAGAGATTATTAAGCCATTCATTCATTCACTCAACAAACACTTATGGAGCATCTCCTGTGGGGCTGGCACTTTTGCAAGCACGGGGGTGTACCACTGTGGAAAGACAGAGTTCTTGCTCTGTGGTATCTCTATTTGGTAAGGCAGAGACTTCATGCCAGAACGGTGTGACAAGCATAGATCTGAGTCACACCCCCTGGCTCGCGTCACAGTTCTGCTTCTCTTAGAAGGACTTACCTTGGGCAGTCACTTTGTCTGTCTCAGCCCGTTTCCTCGTTGACAGAATGCAATGCTGAGACCACCACAGCTTTACAAATGTGGGGAGACTCTCCTCAAGGTAATGAACAAGGAGTGCTCCACAAATCGTTTTCCATATTATCATTCATGTGTTGGTGCATCTGACAGATCCTCAGCTATAAAATGGAGATCCTGATAATCTCCGTTATGACTGATTGCATTGAAGAAGTTAGTCAGTGTGAAGCATGAAGAGCGTTACCTGGCTCACAATGAGCACTCACCCAGTCAGTGTTAGGTGTCATCATCATCCTGATATATATTGTGCAGGAGAGAAAATTAGGAAATTCTGCAGCTTGCTTTTGATATTTCTTGGCATATGCCTAGGGTCACTTATACTTGGAGAACTAAAAAATAGCATAACTGGAGATTTGGATTGATGGGGGACCCATGACCACTGGGCATTGAGCCTTTGTGGCAAAATCTCAGCAAGACAAAACAATACAAGAGTCCAGGCGCTAAGGAAGAACATTCTGGAAGATTCTCTATGGGACCCAGAAAAGAGTACATGGCCACCAGGTGGCTACCCTGGAAGAAAGTGGGCTCTACCCAACATTAAAGGAGGCCACAACCCCGGCAGTCAGTTAATCTAACTGCCTCTTTCTGTAGGCAAGGCAGGGGCAGCCTAGAGAGGGAGGAAAGGAAGAAATACTACTGATTGTGTATCTACTGTGTTCAAGCCATGGAATACACACCTTATAGTCCTCACACCAGCCTAACAAGGCATGGGAGTGAGGATCTCCATGGCACAGGCAAGGAAACAAAGGCCAAGAAAGGTCCAGGCCCCATATTTGGGCCATAACAACATGGAAACTGGATCCGTGGTTCAGTAACCCAGGGCTCTTTGCACAAATAGATTATTGCTCTGCTCTTTATAGTCGGGATAAATTTGTTGAGTGGTGCCATTTGGTCTGTGAATAACCAGAGGTCAGTAATTTGCCAGTTATTTCCAATTTGGGAAACTCCAGGCTAACCTGGTTTTACCAAGTGGAAACCAAAAATATATATGGTGGCCTTGCTTCTCTGGAATCTGGCTGAGGGTCTCAGCATCATATCCTGACTGGGACCCTTAGCTCTCCTATTTTTCAGCTCTCCTGTTTCAGTTATTTATTGCTGGGCAACAAATCGCCCCAAAACTTAGTGACTTAACACAGCACTGATATGTCATCTGCCACAGCTCTGTGGGTAGGTAATTGAGCAGGTCTGCTGGTCTCTCCTGGGATCATTCACACCACTTTGGTCAGTGGTGGCTGGCAGTTGGTGCTGGTCTGCAGTGCCCCAGTCTTCATCCTCCAGGAGGCTGGACAGGTCTTTGCATAGCATGACTGTCTCAGGGCAGCGTTCCAACAGCGTGAAGGCTAGGAACTGCAGACCTTCCTAATAGGCTTCAGAACATGTTCATCATTGCTTCTACCACATTCTACTCATCAGAGCAAGTCACAGCCAGCCCCCATTCAAAGAGCTGGAGAAATAGTCTCGATTTCTTGATGGGAGGAGTGTCGATGTCAGATTTCAAAGGGGAATGCACATCAGGGGATACTAACAACTCTTTCCAGATTTCCACCAGTTATTTGTGAGGTTAAAGCAGTGAGAGAATCACCATACTCTTCACACACAGACCTTGCAAAGCGTTAGTACTCTGTCTTGGTTTGCTTCCTCCCTTGAGTATAAAAATTTTTAGTGGCGATGGCATGTTGTAGTTCAGCGTATTTCTGGGAAGATTAAACATAATGTATTTAAATCACCTGTGAAGGTGCCTCCTACAGAGTAACTCCTTAGTCACACTGTCTGCTGTTGTCATGGTGACCATCACCATCCTTTGTCCTGGGGACCATGAGAGGAGATGGACATGGAACTTAATGCAGGGTGCAATGGCTTCTCCCTGGTGGCTACCATGATGCCCCTCAGGTCCCCAGCAAACTCATCAGTGGCCCTAATTTAGGCCCATCCCAATGGCCCTATGTACCTTTTAATATAAATTGTGCAGACTGAGGTTGAAAGTTGGAGGAGCAGGGGCAGATAATTGGGTTGCACTCAAGTCCTAGGCTCTACTGACTTGGCTGTCCAGGTGACTGGAGGATTTCATGGATATGGCTGCATTCTCAGGGCTCAAAGTCACCCACAGTCTGGCCTGGAGGAGGCAGTGACTCTGGGGCTCTGAGTTCCTGTGAAGCAAGTGGCCACAGGAGTTGAGAAAACCAAGAATGAAGTAGACAGGAGGGTTGTGCTATGAAGCACACTCAGTGTTGTGGGTGTTCAGTAGAGGGAATGATTCTTCCACTAGTGTGGCAGGGAGTGTGTGGGGCCATGAACAATTGTCAAGTTTGGGGCCAGGCACAGTGGCTCACCCCTGCAGTCCCAGCGCTTTGGGAGACTGAAGCTGGCCGATCACCTGAGGTCGGGAGTTCAAGACCAGCCTGGCCAACATAGTGAAACCCCGTCTCCACTAAAAATATAAAAATTAGCAGGGCATGGTGGTGCATGCCTGTAATCCCAACTACTCGGGAGGCTGAGGCAGGAGAATTGCTTGAACTCTGGAGGCGGAGGTTGCAATGAACTAAGATCACGCCACTGCATTCCAACCTGGGCAACAGAGTGAGACTCTGGAAAAAAAAAAAAAAAGAAAAAAGAAAAGAAAAGAAAAGAATTGTCAACTTCGCACCAGCAGAGATTGAGAAGGGAGAATCCCAGATGTGCCCAGCCTAAGGAATGCTTGTGGCAAAAAGTGAATCACTGGTTTCTCGGGAGCCTCCTTTGGTTATGAAGGGGTGAGGAGTAGGAATCAGGCTGGAAAAGCAGGTTGGCACTGGGCTATGGAGAACCCCAAAAGACCAGTGTATGAATGGGGCCTTGGTTCCTAAGGCAAGGAGGCCACCAGGCTACCAACTCATCTGTGGCTCCAGAGCAACTATTCCATAGCCCTGTGCCCCCAGTTTTTCTATCACTTTCATCACAATTAATATTATTCCATTTATATAAAAGAAGGACCACACTGAACTTTCATGAGTGGTGGAGGAGGTAAGGCAGGAAGCCGACAATAGGGTGCCACCACTCCGTGAAGGTCTCTGAGTCTCTGGGTGCTGGAGATGCAGGCAGTGGCAGAGCAGGGCAGAGTGCCCTCCTGTTTCCTGTTCTAGGTGGACTGTGAGCTCTGGTTTGGACTGGGAATGAATGGCCTTTGGGGAGAAACTGTTGCTCTTCGAATTCAGAGGAACACACATCTTCCCAAGCATTTCCCTTTGCCCTCCATTGAGGCTGATGGCTCTCTGCCCTGGCACCTCCTAGACTATGAGTGATTAAGGTTATGTCTTATGTCTCTTAGCAGTGCTGAGCAGAGTGCTTTATACATCATGAGGTCTGGATCAGTGTGGGGTGTGTGTGTGTGTGTGTGTGTGTGTGTGTGTGTGTGTTTAGAGACAAGGTCTTGCTCTGTCACTCAAGCTAGAGCACAGTGGCACAGTCATACCTCAATGTGACCTTGAACTCTGGGGCTTAAGTGAGATTCTCCTGCTTCAGCCTCCCAAGTAGTTGGGATGTCAGGTGTACGCCACCATGCCTACCTAATTTTTATATGTTTTTAGAGATGGGGGTCTCACTATGTTGCCCGGGCTGGTCTTGAACTTGTGGCCTCAAGCAATCCTCCTGCCTCAGCTTCCCAGAGTGCTGGGATTAAAGGCATGAGCCACTGCACCCAGCTTAGATACGTATTTGAATGGGTGGATTTATGATCTACTTGTAGCCAAGTGGAAATGTTTCAGGCAATTACTGAGTTCTTATTCCTCTTGTGTCCCCTCTGCAGCTGGAGCTCTCAAACACTGCTGTCCTGCACCAGATGCGGCGGGACCAGGTGACAGACACGTGCCGAGCCAACAGCGCCACAAGCCGTAAGCGGAGGGTGCTGACCCCCAACGACCTGAAGCACTTGGTGGTGGATGAGGACCACGAGCTCATCTACTGCTACGTGCCCAAGGTGGCCTGCACCAACTGGAAGCGGCTCATGATGGTCCTGACCGGGCGGGGGAAGTACAGCGACCCCATGGAGATCCCCGCCAACGAGGCGCACGTCTCCGCCAACCTGAAGACCCTGAACCAGTACAGCATCCCAGAAATCAACCACCGCTTGAAAAGCTACATGAAGTTCCTGTTTGTCCGGGAGCCCTTCGAGAGGCTGGTGTCCGCCTACCGCAACAAGTTCACCCAGAAGTACAACATCTCCTTCCACAAGCGGTACGGCACCAAGATCATCAAACGCCAGCGGAAGAACGCCACGCAGGAGGCCCTGCGCAAAGGGGACGATGTCAAATTCGAGGAGTTTGTGGCCTATCTCATCGACCCACACACCCAGCGGGAGGAGCCTTTCAACGAACACTGGCAAACCGTCTACTCACTCTGCCACCCCTGCCACATCCACTATGACCTCGTGGGCAAGTACGAGACACTGGAAGAGGATTCTAATTACGTCCTGCAGCTGGCAGGAGTGGGCAGCTACCTGAAGTTCCCCACCTATGCAAAGTCTACGAGAACTACTGATGAAATGACCACAGAATTCTTCCAGAACATCAGCTCAGAGCACCAAACGCAGCTGTACGAAGTCTACAAACTCGATTTTTTAATGTTCAATTACTCAGTGCCAAGCTACCTGAAATTGGAATAAAGGGGGTGGGGAGAGGGAGAGAATCATGCTTTTTAATTTAAGATTTTTATTTGTCAAAAGAATTATATGGATATTGGGTTATTTTGTAAATTAATATTTCTTTGGGGATGATGCTGCGAGCAGCATAGTGAGAATTATTTAAAATCCTTCGTAGGGAAGGACAGCTGTCTTTGCAGGGGAAATAGGATGGGTCGTCCTTGTCTGTAGAAGTGAATACTGCAACACTGTCTCAAAGGTTTCCTTGTGTTCTGGTGAATTCCATGAATTGTGCATTCCATAAATTCTAATTAATATTATTTATAGTTATTTAAACATGGTCTCATTATTTCTTTTTGTGGCAGCAAAATTCTGACGTCTTTCCAGAAGAAATCTATCTTTCCTGCTTTGCTTGCTACAGCTCATTTGGGGGCATGAATGTTCTCCTTACTAACCTTTCATGGAGTCATGTGATAACAGCCATTGTCATGTGTACGGATGCCACCATTCTTGAATTTCTGCTAGAAATAAGTAGGTTGCTATTGCACTTAGAGGCATCTTTGCAAGGGAGTCATTCCAAACCAATTCCAATTGACCTGAAAGTCCCTTGCACTAAAGAAATGTTATTTTTTTTTAACCCAAGGAGAAAGTTGATTGTAGCAATTTTTCACCAGAAATAGCAATCTGATACAATAGGCTTTTTTAACAGGAATTTTAAACTGGCAGTGCCAGTTGTGGTGAAGGTGAAGTGGCTGTTGCTTTATATTCGACAAGTATTTACTGAGCATCTACTATATACTAGGCCCTGAAGATAGAGTGTTGAACAAACCCAATAGTCTTGGCCCTCAAAAAGCTTTAACGTGACATAGAGCATCCAGCTCGACAATTAGCAAACCCCTGATATTCATGGACTTGACATGAGGTTTGGACTATTCATGAGCAACACCAGAGGGTCCATGACCCCTACACATTTTCGTTTTTCTATGGCCCAAATTTGAAAACCTCACATTCGGAGCAGGCCACTTTATCTTCATGAGTGATCCCAAGCTCATTGCCCAACAGAAAAGATGCTAAAAAAATGTTTCCTATCATGTGCCTGCTCCAATTGATGGGTAATGTCTGCCTTTAAGCCCCAGAATGGATTCTCCAGGCGCAGTGTGAAAGAGTGCAATGTGATTAGCAATGTCTGCCTTGGGCGAGGAAAGGGGAACACTCCTCAAGTGCCTCCTACTGTCATCTCCATCCAGCCTAGCACCACATCCCCGTTTAGAAGTGTTGTCTTCTACTGCTTGCCATGTACAAGTATGAAATGCCAAGGTGAGACTCGTACATTTGGGGATTTGCAATGGTTTTTGCCCCTCATGAAGGTCAGAGGTGGACCATTTGTACACATAGGCACATGCACACCCTCCCACATCCTCCAGAGGCTGAAAGACCATCAGCACCTTGGTAACTGCCATGCATGAGCAGCAAAGACAGCCTTCCATGCTGTTAATCCATGCCCCATTTCCTCTGGACGCCTGGAAACTTCATTTCCTGTTCCTTGCTAATTAACATCTAAACACGTTTCTCATTTCCAGCCATTGCTGATGCTTCTCGGTTGAAGTTTGAGCCACATCCCTCTTACAGCTAGTGAATGAGTTGGTAGCAGATACTGTATATAATAATAATAATAGTTTTAATAATAGGGGAGGGTGGGATGGGGTGTGGGTAAGTTTTGCCTTTTGTTTTGTTTTTGATGCAGTATATAGTGAAGGGGTGAGGATATTCTAAACAAACAAAAATTGAATAATTTATTCACAGAAACTATTAAGATTGTATTGTAAAGCTCACAGCAAGCTCAGTGGGCAGCAGCTGCAACATCTCACCAGGGAAATTATTTTCTTTAACATGAGTGAGATGTGGGCCGGAGAAGTTAGCTGGAGCTATTTATAAAACGTTGTGTACCTTCTTCCGAGCTCTCTCCCCTTTGTGAAGGGCACAGCAACTATACCCTTGATGGATGGAGATTTATGCAGTGTGTTTTACCAGGTAGAGTGACAGACCTTGGCTGTCCCTGGAATTGGGAATCTGGACCTTATTTCCAGGCAGGGAACACTGTCCTCAGAAATGGGACTTCTGATAACGAAACAGGTTGTCCAACATTTTCTAACACGTACTCTACAGAACACAGGTTCCAGGAGGCATCAGGTTGGTGTGATGCAAACTAAGGGTTTTGTGGTCAAATATCCTTAAGAAACAAAGTTAAGTCAGTTTCCTTTCTGTAGGACTTTTCAGAGCCTTGAATGTGTGCTGTGCATGGTGAATCCCCAAAACTAATCCTTGAGTCTGTAGCATTTCCTGAACGTACATGACCAGGATACTTTATTTTGCAGATCACCCCACAGAGCTAGGGTTCCACCAAGTATACTTTGCTTAAGCTGAGTTAGCATATCTGAGGTCGTTGAGGATAAAAACTGCCACCCCAACACCCTCCCATTAAAAAAAAAATACAAACTAGCACCACAGTCTCCATCTGGTTTAGATAGCAAGAGGTACTTTATTAAATGAATTAAGCTTTTACTTAAGTGCAATGGTTCTAATCCTGGATACTGCCATGGACTACGATTCCATCCCTCCCAGAGGGAGTGGAGGAAGTCTTGGGTGGTGTGGACAGAAGGAAGAGAGGAGAGGGCGAGTAGGGTATAGGGCCCAGGGTGGCTCCCTCCTCCTCAAGCTCAAAAGGGTGCTCAGTGGGAACAGATGATCTCTTGATGAGTGTTTCTTCAGTTTCATAGTTTGGAATCGTTCCCTGTGCTTTTTGGGGGATTTTCAATGGAAATTCATGTTGCTTTGCATTTCTATGTCCGTCTTTGATCAGTTGTACAAGCCAGCTCACTGTCATGTGAAGATGGCCTTCTTTCATCCGGCTTCTCTCTCTTAAGTGAGAAAGATTGTCCTTCAGGGGACATGACATCAATAGATTTCTGGAATGAGGGACTCTTTCTCCCCGTGTTTTGCTTTGTGTTCACATTTTCTTTTCTAATGGCATTGAAACTTAAAAAAAAAATGGATTCAACTGTTTTTTGCAGAATGTAGAAATTCTGTGTCCTTGGTTAAAGAAATCCACTGGTGAAGTGTGCCTGGAAAATGAAAGTTTGTGTTTTTTAAAGAGGAATATTTGAAACTACTTTCTATGCATGCTTAGCTGGAGAAAAGTACAGGCAGGCGTTCAATCTCCCAGCCACTTCTCAAAGGTGCTGCTGTGTTTTAAAGACCAGGTACAGCCAGGGCAGAATTTGCAAGGACATTCCTGCTTACTTTATCCCTTTGGTTCGAAAGCTCTAGATGATTCCCGCAGCTCCTCCAGACCCCGCCTCCCTGCCCTCCCCAGCTGGTCTGGGAAGAAGGTGGTCTGCTGACCTGTAGTGTCTCAGAGGGGACGTTCCTCCTCCTCCCTGTGCACCAGGTGAGCTGCACCCTCCTGCCTATTCAGGATGTGGATGCCACAGGAGAGCAGCGGGCAGTGGAAACTTCAGTTGCACCAGTTCACCTGGTGGCAAAAGCATGAAGCACAGGGGTCTAATCCTGGCTACTAGAAAGCTCCAGAACAAAGTGTGTGGGTCCCACAAATGCTTGGCTGGTGGGGTCTCGATCAGCGCTGAGATAGAGTTGGCAGAAGAAGCCGAGAGACTCTGCTTGCTTTCCTAGCCAGTCCTCCCCTACATACACACACACATACACACACACACACACACAATCTCAGCTGCCCCATTCTGTGCAATCCCAGTGACCAAATCCCTTCCTTGCCCACTTCTATGTCAGCAGGACTGACCACATCACTCCCCCAAGTTCCCACCACCAGCATTTCCTCCAACCTTTTTCCATCACAACCAGTTAGAACCCTACAGGCAACAAGGCCTTCTAGAATCCGCTTGACCCTTGGCTGATAACAGGCAAATATCAGTCTGCTATACTTTGTTAGGTCCAGAAGGAGCTGCCCATACTACTTTCTTATGAGCATGCTCAGTATGGCATATGGACATGTAATTTCACATCTTTGTGGAGTGTGATTTTCTTTTTTTACATATTTGTATGCAGTAGAGGGCCTGTTGTAGAAAACGCTCCCTGTATCTTGCTGTACTGTTAAAGAAAGCTGAATTCCACATTGCCAACAAAAGCGTGAAAATGTTCATGAACCTTCCTCCAGGAAAAGCCATTCAAGCCTGATTATTTTTCTAAGTAACTTCAATTAAATTGAAGAAAAAAAGAAGCTGCTTTCTGTGTATGGTTTGTTCATGGCTCATTAACGAAAGACTGTAGGGGTGGGGTGGGCCGTGGACCTTAACATGCGGGGGGCCCTGCTCATGTGTATCAAAGGATGAACATGCGGGCTCCGTTGGCAGACTCAGCCCTGGTAAAAACCGCCATAGATCCGAATTCTTTCTGTTTATCGGGTGAATGGAAGCTTTTCTTCATTCTATTTTTTCTATAAGCTCTTTGTAGAGTAACGCATTAGAAGGTCCACTGTGATCACACAGTTCCACTACTCTTGTGAAGAGGCCATGAAGGCTGTCAGTAAATGGCTTTGGTGGCAGAGCCAGTATTCAAGCCCAGGCTGATGCGCCTTCAGAACCCCATGTTTTTGGCACTGAACGACATGCCTCTCTAAATGGCCATCCATGGTGCCACTGCTAGGAAGTTGCAAGCCAGGAAGCTGCAAGCCTGCACTTCAAGTCCCAGTTTTTCAATCCACATCCAATCCTGTTCTGATTCCCCACAGAGCTTCTTTTGGCTCTATGGATGAGCATCTTTTAGCTTCTTTTTTTTTTTTTGAAACGGAGTCTTGCTCTGTTGCCAGGAGGGAGTGCAGTGGCGAGATCTCAGCTCACTGCAATCTCCACCTCCTGGGTTCAAGCGATTCTCCTCCTTCAGCCCCAGGGTAGCTGGGACTACAGGTGCACGCCACCACGCCCAGCTAAGTTTTGTATTTCTAGTAGAGATGGGGTTTCACCATATTGGCCAGGATGGTCTCGATCTCTTGACTTCGTGATCCACCCGCCCCGGCCTCCCAAAGTGCTGGGATTACAGGCATGAGCCACTGTGCCCGGCCGTATCTTTTAGCTTTATTGGTAAAAATGATTTCTGTATATTTTTCCAAAGAAGAAATTATACTCAATGTTGTTTCTGTATTTTATTGTATTCTAATTTAATTTTAAGAGACAAGGTCTCACTCTGTCACCCAGGCTGGAGTGCAGTGACACGATCATAACTCACTGCAGCCTTGACCTGGGTGCATGTGATCTCCCGGCACAGCCTCCAAAATACCCAAGGATTATAGGCATGTGCCACCATGCCCGGCTAACCGATTTCTTTAAACATAACATCTAAACATTTTTAACATTAAAATATTGGGTGAGAAAATAGATCCCGTTTTCAACCATGCTAGATATGGTTTCTAATCACCAGCTGGCTTTCCCCACTGGTAGTTAGTGCCCACCCATGGGCATGATACCCAAAAGACCAGGAGCCACTGGCTAACAATACATTTGGACAAGAATACATTGCTGGTGTCATCACTGTCCTTGCTATGGTCCCATCTGGTTGGGAAATGCCCAGATCACAGAGCTTAGTCATCTTAGATTCATAGAAAACATACATCCTTTTTCATCAGTGAATGGATGTGACTTTGCCATAGCCTGTCTCTGTCTCTTTTGGAACATTGTAAATGTCAGTGGGAAGCAAAGCTAGACAAGGTCATCTCTAGCCTGTTTGCTCCCCTTGGAGTGAGACTGACATGCTTTCTTGCCAGCTAATCAGGAGGTGTTTCTGATGGCGCCCCAGGTGCCCTCTGTCTGACCTGCAGAAGCTGCAGAACCCGAGAAGCCTGTGGCCCAGAACACTGCCCGGGCCAGGTCAGGGTAAGGTTATTATTGTTCCCCCAAGTGGACAAAAATAGGATGAGGCAGTCATTAGTGTAAGATGTAAAGTACTCTTTCTCGGGAAGAACTCCCTCTTCTCAAGTTAGGTCTTTCCTACATTTTTGGATTAGAATACCTTTTCTTGTTTTGTTTTGTTTTGTTTTGTTTTGTTTGTTTGTTTGTTTGTTTTTGAAATGGAGTCTCGCTCTGTGGCCAGGCTGGAGTGCAGTGGTGTGATCTTGGCTCCCTGCAACCTCCACCTCCCAGGTTCAAGCGGTCCTCCTGCCTCAGCCTCCCAAGTAGCTGGGACTACAGGCACCCACCACCATGCCCAGCTAATTTTTGTATTTTAGTAGAGACAGGGTTTCACCATGTTGGCCAGGATGGTCTCGATCTCTTGACCTTGTGATCCGCCTGCCTCGGCCTCCCAAAGTGCTGGGATTACAGGCATGAGCCACCGTGCCCAGCCTCTTTTATGATAATAGATGTTAATTGATACCAGGACATAAAATATTGGTAACTTAGGGTCAGCCCCCCAATGTCATTTTAAACATTTTCTGAAAAAGTCATGATATCCAAAAAGACCAGGAACCGTTGGTCAAGAATACATCTGAGTCATGAAGCGATGGGAGAGAAACCTCAGGGCCTGGTGGACAGAACTCTGTGGAAATCCCTTCTGAAGCACAGTCCTGAGTGCCCCACAGCTGGATCCCACAATGTGGCCAGTGGCTATGGCCTTCGCGTTCTGGGGTGACTTACAAGAAGCTGAACACTGGACTAGCTACATTCACTGTAGATAGTTCATCAGACATCTTAGGTCTGGGGTGATGAATACATTTGGTGTAATACGAAAAAGGAACATTCTAGCAAGGCTGAGATGAGAAAAACAACCACCTTTTCCCTATTTCACAATCTTCACCTAGCGCCTGCCTCTTCCCCAAATTGTAAGAACCCACAGGTGGAGAAAGCAGTCAGAGGATGTGAGTGAAGGCCGCCTGCTGGTTCCCAATGCGTTGCTGGCTGAGAACCGTTCCCAAACAAACTCCCTTAGTCAGTTCCTCTTTGAAACGGAGAAAACAGTAATATCTGGATTGTGCCACGATCGAAAAGAACCCTGTCCTGGCTGCAGTTCATCCACCAAGGAGCTGTCTGCAACCTACAGGTAATTACTTCCTAGGTGGGGAGGGGACCTCCATTTCCTCATCTGCGGAACAAAAGAGCTATATCTGTGATTTTCAATGCGGTGTTCAAAAAAATGAGCCTCTTAAAAATTCTTGCATTCTGAACACTCATATGTAGAACAGATGCAGCAGAGATGCTGTGATTGAATGGTTCGAGGCCCAGCTCTGCCTCTTTTTTCCCATAAAGTCCCTGTAAACCTTCATGGGCCGTAAGGTTCTAAGGAAAACAGTTTGAGAAGCGGTAAGTCATGTGACCTCTGAGCCTTTTCTGCTTTGACTTCTCTAATGATCTACCTGAATCCTCTGTGGCTTCTGCTGCTTTACGCCTAAGAGATTGACCCGTTAGATGGTACCACGCAGGTAAAAACTGCTTTGAGAAGGGAGTTAAAGGGATGATGGTAGACGGAGATTAAGATGGAAGAACAGAAATTATAAGAAAAAAAAGAAAAAAAGAAAAAGAAAAACGTAAAAGCTGATGCAGGAAAGAGATAGCTCATAGCTAGATTCAAGATGGTAACCGAAATTTACACTTCTCTTTCCAAACGCTCTACCATGGAAACACAGGCTCCACCTTTCTACAAAACCCTATTATTTTGAAATACAAGAGACTGGAATGAAAAACTGTCTCTGCATTAATCTGCTTTTTATTTTTCCATGTTTTATTTGTTTTTTGTTGTTGTTGCTGCTATTGTTTTTTGACACAGAGTCTCGCTCTGTCGCCCAGGCTGGACTGCGGCGGCGCGATCTCGGCTCACTGCAAGCTCCGCCTCCGGGGTTGACGCCATTCTCCTGCCTCAGCCTCCCGAGTAGCTGGGACTACAGGCGCCCACCACCTCGCCCGGCTAGTTTTTTGTATTTTTAGTAGAGACGGGGTTTCACCGTGTTAGCCAGGATGGTCTCCATCTCCTGACCTCATGATCCACCCACCTCGGCCTCCCAAAGTGCTGGGATTACAGGCGTGAGCCACCATGCCTGGCTCCATGTTTTTTTAAAAAAATAATAGAGCATCTCATTATGGGAGGAGAGCAAGGGCTTTGGATTTCACGTTGGTTTGGACAAGCCAGCAGCAGCTAGAGAAGGAGATTATTTTGTGGCTGGGACCAGCCTTGGGCTGTATCTGACAGATCAAGCCAGAAACAACTTTGTGCCTGGAACCAAACTGGCAAAAAGATGGAGGAAAAAAAAATGCCTAAAGAAGAGACGAAGGAAGAAGGACCTCTGACTATAGAAATGATATCTTTATTCTGAGCTTCTTTGCACAATGAACACAAACTCAACTGTGGGTGGCTTGGAAATGTTCACTTTTAATGTGCTCTTTTCCAAATTCTATATTTTCATAGGGAAAGCTGACCATAAAGGTAGCTAACTTATTAACCATTCGTTTATTATATGCCACACAGTATGTTACATGCTTTCCATTTAATCCTCACAAACAACCAACAAGGTAGATACTCGGATCCTTTTTACAGATTGATAGGGTTGGCTGTGTCCCCATCCAAATCTCATCTTGAATTGTAGCTCCCACAATTCCCACATGTTGTGGGAGGGACCTGGTGGGAGATCGTTGAATCATGGGGGTGGTTTACCACATACTGTTCTCATGTTAGTGAATAAGTCTCACAAGATCTGATGGTTTTTAAGAAGTTTCCCCTTTCACATGGTTCTCATTCTCTCTTGCCTGCCACCACGTTAAGACGTCCCTTCGCTCTTCCTTCATTTTCCGCCATGATTGTGAGGCCTCCCCAGCCACGTGGAGCTATGAGTCCATCAAACCTCTTTCCTTTATAAATTACCCAGTCTTGGGTATGTCTTTATTAGCAGCATGAGAATGGACTAATACACACATAAAGATGCAGAAAATTAGAATAAATAACTTGCCTCTAGTTACCCAGAATTCAGATCCAGGTCTGGTTGACTCTCCAGCCCACTAAAATTGGGCATCATTGGTGGACCAAGAGTAGAGGATGCCAGAAGTCTAAATCTGGAGGCCAATGGTACTACAAAGAGACATGGATAGAGAGGAAAACTTTAGCCCAGTTGGCAAAAGCTTGGAAAACCTACTGGACTGATGAACATCAAATTTGGACAAACTGTTTAGAAAGCTTGGACTTCCAATAGAAGCCAATGAATGGCAAAGTGAAATTCAAATCAGGGGTCTCTGTGAGAG